CTGATTGTCAGCCGAAAATCTGGGTCTAAACGTGCAAATTGAGGCCAACAGCAACTAGTCAATGTTAGGGCAGAACGGAGAGTGTGGAGACTGGTACAAGACAACAGAGGGGCAACAATGCATCAAATATTGCAGATCTTAATCAGGGATCCTCTCAAATGATCTCTGAATGCACAATAGGATATACTAGATTAAACAGATTTTTTAAAAATATGTTTTCACTGATTTTTCTTTTTAGAGAGAGAGGAAGGAAGGAGAGCAAGATAGAAACATCAATGAGAGACACTTCCATCAACAGCCTCCTGCAGTCCTCCTAATGGGGACTGAGGCGGCAACCTGGGCATGTGCCCTGACCAGGGATTGAACCTGGTTCAGTGCTTAACCACTAAGCCACACTGGCTGGAAAGAGAAAACATTTGAGACTCATTCCATCCCTGTACTTTCCCTCACATGAGAACTATCGCAGTCTTCCCAAGTAATGTTTTGTGCCATAATTCCAGAAATAAAATCCATAACTGTGATGTACATAGTACACACAAGAATTTAAGGGTCACACAATAAAACAATTGTTTAGTGTTGAAAGTGAATGAGAAAGGAAAGACTGAGATGATATTGAATGGACAGGGACTATGAGGAAATGGAGAGGAAGCTGGAACTGTGCTGGGAGGTAAATGGAGAATGACTACTAAGACATGCAGAAGTGAGAAACAAAGAAGGACCAGGATATGGAGACAAGTCAAATGTCCATCAATAAAGGAGAGGATAAGAAAGTGGTAGTACAGATATACAGTGGAATATTACTCAGCCATAAAAAAGAATGAAACTTACTGTTTGTGACTGCATGGGTGGATCTAAGGTATTATACTATATATATATATTGATTTTTTACAGAGAGGAAGGGAGAGAGATAGAGAGCTAGAAACATCAATGAGAAACATCGACCAGCTGCCTCTTGCACACCCCCTATCGGGGATGTGCCCACAACCAACGTACATGCCCCTGACCGGAATCGAACCTGGGACCTATCAGTTCGATTTCGGCTAGAAGGTATTATTCTAACTGAAAAGAGTCAGTCAGAAAAAAATAAATGCCACGTGACTTCACTTATACATGAATCTAAAGAACAAAATTGAAACAAACTCATAGATACAGGGGACAGACTGACAGTTGCCAGAGGGGAGGAAGATTGAAGGAATGAGTGAAAAAAGTGAAGAGATTAAGAAGTAAAATTGATCCGGGCTGGCAAGACTCAATGATTGAGTAATGACCTATGAACCAGGAGTTTATGGTTCGATTATGGTTAGGGCACATGACCGGGTTGTGCCCTAATGATTTGCTATAATTTCAATTATAGCAGCCGATCAATGATTCTCTCTCATCCTTGATGTTTCTATCTCTCTCTCTGCATCTCCCTACCTCACTGAAATCAATAAATATAAATTTTTTAAAAAGAAGTAAAACTGACAATTACAAAATAGTCACAGGGATGTAAAGCACAACACTGCGAATAGAGTTAGTAATACTGTAGTAACTACATAAGGTGCCAGGTGGACACTGAAAATAAGGAGGGGACATTTTGTGAGGACATAATTGTCTCATCACTATGCTGTACACCCGAAACTAATACTACTAAACAGAAACACCTTATAAGGATATAACTGTCTTACCACTATGCTATACACCTAAAACTAATACCAAATAATATTTAACATAAACTAATTGAAAAGTAAAGTCTTTTAAAAAAATATATATATTTTATTGATTTTGTACAGAGAAGAAGGGAGAGAGATAGAGAGTTAGAAACATCGATGAGAGAGTCATCGATCAGCTGCCTCTTGCACACCCCCTACTGGGGATGTGCCCGCAACCAAGGTACATGCCCTTGACCGGAATCGAACCCGGGTCCTTTCAGTCCACAAGCTGATGCTCTATCAAATGAGCCAAACCGGTTTCGGCTAAAGTCTTTAAAAATGAAGGAAAATCAGCCAAAGCTGGTTTGGTTCAGTGGTAGAGCATCGGTCTGCGGACTGGGGGGTCCCGGGTTCGATTCTGTTCAAGGGCATGTGTCTTGGCTGCGGGCGCATCCCCGGTGGGGGGTGTGCAGGAGGCAGCTGGTCGATGTTACTCTCTATCTCGTCGATGTTTCTGGCTCTCTATCTCTCTCCCTTCCTCTCCGTAAAAAATTAATAAAATATATATTTTTTTAAAAAATGAAGGAAAATCAAAATGGGGAGGAGGAGCACATGAATGGTTAGAAAAGGGAGCCCAGTAGGACACACAGAATGCTAGAGGGAAAGCTGACAAGATTAGACAACAGTTACTTCTTTCAACCAGTTATTTTACAGATAAGAAAACTGAGGCCAGAATGCCGCTGTGTTTTCTCCAATTCACTGCATCTGGCAGGTGTCTCATCCAGGAATGTATCTTGACTCTCAGTCCTAAGATCCTTTTATGGCAAGAGACTTGCTTTGAAGAACAAGCACTCACATCCGATACACAGAGAGGCTAGAGGGTAGAAAGAGGATAGAGAAGCTTGAAGCCAAGTAGGAGGGAAAAGGAGAAGCTGAGTAAAGGCACAGGCCTGTAAGGGAAATTGAGGTTACTGCTGGTGGGGAGTGGGGATTCAGATGAGGGTGGGAGACTGTGGGAGGGGAGCTCCGGTCTGGGCTCTCAGGGGAGCTTAGAGGACAGAGAAATTCCAGAGCTGTGGTGGTGTCTGAGGAAGCACCGGGTAGCAGCTGTAGGAACATGAGCATGCCTGTACCTCAGCACCAGTGGATCAAGAGGAGGGATCTCAGGGAGGTGTGAAGGCTCAGGGGGTCATGGGCATCCTGCCCGGCCAGTGTGGCTCAGCTCATGGAGTCAGTCCCAGCACCAAAAGGGGGGCAGGACACGTAACAGGATGATGTGCTCTGTGAGGCGGTCACACCTGAGAGGGGTCTGGAAAAGAGCACTTTGGACATGTCAAAGGTGTGTTAACCCAGATGCACAGGAACAATGGACAGAGCTCGCTTAAGGCAGACACACTGGGCATATCCCCAGTGGGGGGTGTGCAAGAGGCAGCTGATTGATGTTTCTCTCTCATCGATATTTCTAGCTCTCTACCCCTCTCTCTTCCTTTTCTGTAAAAATTCGATAGATTTTTTTTTAAATGTTTCTGCTGAAAGCTTAATATGGACAAGTCCCCTCATTTAAATTTTTCAAGGAGGAAGTAAAAGTTTCCCATGAGCCTGCAGAGTCTTAATTGTCTTTGGGTCAATATAATTCAAACTCTAAGACTCAAAATAACACAAATGCCAGGGTGACACATCCTGGGGAGGCCAGTTCTGAACCCCTACAATAGCTATGGAGGAATTTACTTATCAGCTTGTGAGCACCAACAGAAGTTGTTGTTTTTTTTGTTTGTTTGTGTGTTTTTTGTGTGTGTGTATTCATGCAATTATTGCATTCTTTTCTCCTAAAATACCCTTCCTGTAATCAGAACACAATGTGGTTTCTGCTTGAATCTGTGCTTCCCAAATTGCAATACAAATAAACCCTTATTGCCCCACGTTTTGGCTTTTTAATTTTAGGTTAAGGTAATCTTAACTTTTTTCCAAAATATTTTAAGAATTAGCCATAGGTAATTTGTTTACTTGTATAACAAATAGCCAGAGCACATTTATTTAAAAGTTATGAAGGCAAACATTTTAAGAGCCTTTTAAACATGACAAGAATGAAAGAGCAGGGTCAGCATGGCCAGCAAAGACCAGTGTATGATAAAACAAGCTGGAAGATCCAAGCAGGGCCAATAAGAAGGAAAACTTGGGTAAAGAACTCCAGAATATTCTATTAATTTAATTTCCCACAAATTATCACTGTTTTTTAAAACTTATAATAGGAGATTTAAAGCATCTGTGTAAACTTCATGCTTGTTAGCATATATTTTAATCCTAAATAAATCTGTGTAAGATTCTTGTTTCACCAAGTAGAAATACTAGCAAAGATTTCTGATACCTTAAACAAGAACGTTAAAAATCTGTGTAATGAGCCAAAACAGGTTTGGCTCAGTGGTAGAGCGTTGGTCTGCGGACTGAAAGGTCCCAGGTTCGATTCCGGCAAGGGCATGTACATTGGTTGCGGGCACATCTCCAGTAGGGGGTGTGCAGGAGGCAGTGGTCGATGTTTCTCTCTCATCGATGTTTCTAGCTCTCTATCCCTCTCCCTTCCTTTCTAAAAAATCAATAAAATATATATATATATTTTTAAATCTGTGTAGTGAAAAAATAATTGGATGCCTGAACCCAACTATTCAATTATTCAAACTCACTCATTGAGCACCTTGCCAGGAGGCATTCCACTCAAGATGGGGACCCAGTGCAGCAGAGGTATACAGACCGGCGCCCTGAGCGAATCACTGGAGCCAAGATCCTGAGTGGGCAACGTCAGTTAAGGGCTGGGACTTTGTTTCAAGAAGGCTTGTTTTCTCCAGTCTGTACATTACCATAAACTCAGCACACCAAGCTTCTAGTCCTCAGTTTGTGTGCTTCCTTCTTAAGTAGAATACAAGCTCCTGAATAAAGTGATTGCCTGTAGACCACTAGATATTCACAAGTGTTGCAAGATGCTTGTATCCAGGCAGGTGCTGAGAGACTTTTGGGTAAATATTCATTGGGTATCAATGCAAGTCAGAGGACATATTTCTTTTTTTTAAAATATATTTTACTGATTTTTTTTACAGAGAGGAATGGAGAGGGATAGAGAGAAACACTGATGAGAGAGAAACATCAATAAGTTGTCTCTAGAACACTCACTACTGGGGATGTGTCCACAACCAAGGTGCATGCCCTTGACGGGAATCGAACCTGGGACCTTTGAGTCTACAGACTGATGGTCTATCCACTGAGCAAAACCAGCTAGGGTGAGATTCTTTTATGTTTCCAGGTTCCTGTGGTCTCTGTGATGGCTACTTGTTCTTCCCTAGGGTAATGGAGTAGTAGTTTACACTATTACACAGGACAATCATAGGAGATTCTGAAAATCAAATAAAGCAGCTAATGAGATGTCTTACTATGAATGTGGTGGGGTGGGTCTTAGACAGAAGAAGAGTGTTTGAATTTGGCAAGAGAAGGACAGAGTGACAGGAAAGAGCAGGGACAACAGAACATCAGGTAGGAATTGGAAAACCATTTGGTTTTATGCTTTCATTGTCTGAATGAGAAGAAATGTCCCCAGAGGTAAATTGACTTTTCAATGCCACATAAGACTTAGTCCATAGAGGCTGAGTTAGAGAAAGATGAACAGAATGAAGGCTGGTAACAAGGGGAAAAGTTGAAAGTCAGAAGTGGAGGAAATGAGAAGCTGAACCAGTGCCTAGAGTTTAGGGAAGGAACACTTTTTTTTTTTTGTTTTGTTCTGTTGGTAGAACAAGGAAGTCAGAATAGAGGTAGTATGAAGTTTTATTTCAAACAGAAGCCAAAGACAACCTTTCCTGAGAAAGAAAGAACATCTGTAACTGAAATGCTGCTTCTGCAAATTCCATTGCTAGCTGTTCTCCTCGCAGCTGGTGACAATGAAGATGGTAAGAACTCTGGCTACTGCTCTGTTGGGTACAAATGTATGTGTGTGTGTGTGTGTGTGTGTGTGTGTGTGTGTGTGTGTGTGGTGGGGCATCCTCAGAACATACCTGGAGAGGAGATGTCAGCACAGTTTAGCGTATCCCATACTCTGGGACCCTGTGCCTTCTGAAGGTTGTTTGTAAAGCATGGGGCCCTGGGCAGCTGAATGCTGCTGATTCTGAATGTTTCCAGATTCTGAGTGTTTCTCTCCTGGCACCTTTCTTCATTCTTTCTTCTTCCCAATGCCTTTTATTCTCCTCATTCTATCTGTTCTCTTGCCACAGCCTTCCAGGAGGAGATCTCCTTCAAAATTATCCACAGCTCATCCTTCTACAACCGTTCCTTGGTGAAAAGTCAAAACTCTGCTTGGTTGGATGACTTGCAGACTCATGGCTGGGACAGCAACTCTGGAAGAATTATTTTTCTGCGACCTTGGTCCAAGGGCAACTTTAGCAAGGAAGAGATGAAAGAACTGGAAAAGTTTTTCCATCTGTTGTTCTTTGACGTGCCTCTAATAATTCAAAGGCATGCCAGTCAATGGAAGTTTACATGTAAGTTCAATTCCCAAAATGGGTGGGTGCAATGTGCTGGGTGAGGGGGGTGTATGTGTCACAATGAGTTTCTTATTCCCATTTCCCCCCACATCCGATCTCTTCAGCATTCTCTATACAGCTATTGTAACCTATTGCATTTCATTCCCCCCAGGTTATTATAATCACACTAAGTGCTTCCTTATTCTCTTGTTCTCACCATTTATGTCACGCTCTTTCAACGATTTTCTCACTTCTATTTCCAAAAAAAGAAGTCATTCATTTTTTCCTTCACCTTCAACTACCAATTATACTTTTTCTGAACTTCTGATCAAACCAAACTTTGTTCCATTATCTCAAAATACCCAAACTTCTTCTATTTCCTTTTTTGCTTCCACTAATTTCATCTTTACTCCATTTCCTCTAATTTATACCCCTTCTTCCCTAGATCCCTTTGAGACTCAGATAACAGGAGGCTGTGAGCTGCACCCTGGAGGAGCCATAGTAGACTTCAGTCAATTAGCTTATCAAGGATCAGAGCTCATGTACTTCCAGGACAGTTCCTGGCTGCCATCTGTAAAGAATGAAATCAGAGCTGAGACTGTAAGCAGACATTTCAGTCAGTACCATGTCTCCAACAAAATAATACGGAGGCTGCTCAGTGACACCTGCCCACGTTTCCTCTTGAGCATCCTTGATGCGGGGAAGGCAGATCTCCAGAGAGAAGGTCAGTCCCACATCCTTCCTCCATGAGTTTTCTAAAATTATATCTTTACACCATCCCTTTAAAATGAGGATAAGGGGGTCAAGAGAGAGGATAATGTGTGAATTGCCAGCATGTGATAGATGTGTCCATCTAAACTGATGTGAAGATATGAACCTCCAAGTCTGTGTTAGTCCTTATCTGAATATCTCTCCTGTCCTCTGCAGTGAAACCAGAGGCCTGGCTGTCCACTGGCCCCAATCCCGGTCCTGACCGCCAGATGCTGGTTTGCCATGTCTCTGGCTTCCATCCAAAGCCAATTTGGGTCAAGTGGATGCGAGGTGAACAGGTACAGCAGCGCACTCAACAGAGTGCCATCTTGCCCAATGCTGATGGGACATGGTACCTTCAGGTTTTCTTGGAGGTGGAAGCCACTGAGACATCTGGCCTATATTGCCGGGTGAGACATAGCAGCCTGGGAGGCCAGGACATCCTCCTCTACTTGGGTAAGAAAACTGGGGCCCACACTGGGAATGGGAGTGGATGGTCCACAAGCAGAGCAGGAGAGCAAAGTGAAACACTTGGCATTTATGGATTCCAGACCCTCCCCCCCCCAAAAAAAAAGAAAGAAGAGAATTAATCCAATAAATAGAAGAGTTGAAAATACGAGACCTACAGAAGTAGGAAAATGTTGAGGGTTACTGAAAGATTCAACTCTGAAGAGGGAGGAGAGAGGAAACAAGAACAAAGATTAGTGAGGGGAACACTCTAATAACAAAGGCAGAGCAGGGAAATGCAGTAAACAGGGGGTGGGTTTGAAATGACATCTTGTGTGCACCCAAACCCACAGAACACCATCACAGCTCCAAGGGCTGGATCATCTTGGCAGTGATGGTGCCCCTGGTGCTCCTGACAGCTCTTGCATTTTGGCTTAGGAAGCGCTGGTGAGTTTCCTGTTCTTTCATCCACTCCCTACTTGTTATCCCACTTTTCTTCTCTCTCTCTTTGTCCTTAGTTCTCCTTTCCCCAGTCCCCTTCCTTTTACTTTCAATTCTCACTTCCACCTCATGCAAAGTAACTTTCATCTCTGTTCTTATCAGGTCACACTGTGAGCCTCCTGCCAGGCTTCTTCCTTTGGAGTGAGATGCCAGCAGCCCTGGGTTCCAGACATATTTAAACGCAGCATGGCGACAATGTCTGCTCAGCTCTCCATGTACAACTTCGGTTGTTTATGTTTTGTTATTTTTATATTTAATGATCTGTTATTAATATAAGCTCAAGGTAATCTTGCAGGACTTGCTTTCTGACCTGGCTCAGAGATAAAAACTCTTATTTTAACCTGGATAAAATGAGATCCTAGCCACGGCTACATATTGAAAAATTGACGAATCTCAGGCCCATTTCGGCTGTCACTTCTTTTTGAGGATCTTCCTTGATTCACAATTGAAAACAGCATCTGAACTCCCACACACTTTTCAGCGAACTTTGCTGAATCTGCTTCTCACTTTTTATCCTTTGTTGCAGTTATGTAGGCCCCTTTTCACCTTCTAATTTTTAAGTGTGAGAGCAAAGACTATGTCTTTTTAAAATTTGCATCATCTACAAAGTGTGTAACAGTATGTAATATGCTTTCAATAAAAGCCTGCGTTAAGTTTGCTTAGCATTTACCACAATGATCAGGTACCTGAAGTTCTAGGCAAGGAAGGAGGAAGCAAGGAAGTAACAAATGTATTTGGAGATGCTGCTCTTAAGAGGACACTCCTCTAATTTTACTATCTGACAGTTTTTTTTCTCTTTTTTTTAATCCTCATTCGAGGGTATTTTTCCATTGCTTTTTAAGAGAGAGAGTGGGAGAGAGAGAGAAAGACAGGAAGGAACATCCATATGAAAGAAACACATGGATTGGTTGCCTCCTGCATGCATGAGCTCTGACCAGGGCCAGGTCAGGGGAGGAGCCTGCAACCAAGGTACGTGCCCTTAATGGGAATCAAACCCAGAACCGTTCAGTCTACAGGCCAACACTCTATCTGCTGAACCAAACCCGGTAGGGCTAGTTTTCTTTTTTTAATACATATATTTTTTTTACTTTAGAGAGGAAGGCAGAGGGAGATACAGAAACTTCAATATTGAGAGAGAATCACTGATCAGCTGCCTCCTACATGCCCTCTACTAGGGATTGAGCCTGAAACCTGGGCATGTGCCCTGACAGGGATCAAAGGTCAATGCTCAACCAGTGAGTCACACCGGCTGGGTGAGTCCTAGGTTTTAATTATTTAATTTGTTTGAAGCTATCTTCTTTTAAATTGTATATTTATTTTTTAAAATTGATTTTAAGAATGGGAGTGGGAGAGAGAGAAAGAGAAAGAGAGAGAGAGAGAGAGAGAGAGAGAGAGAGAGAGAGCGAGCGCGATGTGAGGAAAACACTCATTAGTTGCCTTGTAATTGGATCTGGGCCTAAACCTGCAACCTCATGTGCCCTGACCAGAACTGAACCTCCACTTTTTTGGTGTATGGGACAATAATCCAACAATTCAGCAAAACTGGCTAGGGCGACAGTTATTACTTTTGAAGTAACTGATGATGTAATTACTATATAATTACAAGTACTTGGTTTCTTAACAAAATAATCCAAATAAAATATAAGACAAGAATTGCAAAGGCCCTGGCCAGATGGCAGGTTCAAAACCCAGTCGAGGCCAATGTAGGAGGCAGCAATCAATGTTTCTCTCTCTCTAAAGTCAATAAAAATATATCCTCAGGTGAGGATTAAAAAAAAACCCAATTGCAAAAACACATTCTTATAAATTTATTTATATGGATTGATATTATAAAAAGCATGGCAAGTGCTGGCGAGCATGTGGAGAAAAGGAGCCCTAGTGCACTTATTCTGGGAATGCAGACTGGTGTAGCCACTATGGAAAACATGGAGTTTCCTCAAAAAGCTAAATATGGAACTGCCCTTAGACCCAGTGGTCCCACTTCTAGGAATATATCCTAAGAAAACAGATATATTTATCAGAAAGAATAGATGCACCCATTGTTCACAGGAGGGCGATTTGCAATAGCTAACCTCTGGAAACAGCCCAAGTGCCATCAGTAGATGAGTGGATAAAAAAGCTGGGTACACTTACACCATGGAATACCATGCAGCAGGTCCCAGCATGGAGGGACCCAGAGAGTATCATGCTAAGCGAAATAGCCAATCAAAGAAAGACAAGTATCACATGGTCTCACGCATGTGTGGAATCTAATGAACAAAATAGATCCAGAGATATAGAAGCATAGAACAGACTGCAGAATCTCAGAGGAAGAGATCAACCAAAGACCTTGCATGCATATATGCATAACCTGTGGACACAGACAATAGGTGATGAAGGCCTGGGGTGAGGGGATGAGGGTGCCTAAGAGGGAAGGGCGTTCTAGAAGGAGTCACTGGGGAAAAAAATGTGGGATATGTGTAATACTTTCAATAATAAAGATTTAATTGTTTTAAAAGTTCCTTAAAACACAGTTTCAACTGAGGTAAAAAAAAAAATAGAATCTGATTAGGTTGGTATTAATAAAATATGTAATCTAATTGTTAAGTATCATATATAAAATATAAAATAATAATAATAAATATTAAAATAAAGTGTTATTAAAACTCTCCCACAAAGAAAAAGTGTGGCTCAGAAAGATTGTTGAATTCACACATTTAAAGAAGAAGACATACCAGCCTTACATTAAAATCTTTTAGAAAATGAAGAAGGCATTCCTCATTTATTTTATGAGGTCAGCATATTCTACCTCTAAAAACTTACAAGATAATTGCAAAAAAATCAAACTATACACCAATATTTCTTATAAATACCAATACAAAATTCCTAACAAAATGTAATAGAATGTAGCAGTATATAAAACGGTTATTAGATGATGACTATTTGGGTTTATCCCAGACAAGGAAGATTTTTTTTTTTAATTTAAAAACCAATCAATATAATTCACCGTCAGAATAGAGAGGGATTGTCATATTTTATCTCAATAGTTAGAAATAAGAGATTGGAAACATTGAGCGTCGTCTTGTGTCAAAAACTAGGAATGAAAGGGCACCTTCCCAATTTCATAAAGAGGGAAAAACCCCAAACAGCTAACACCCTACTAAATGGTGACATTTTTGCCTTCTCTTCTGAGGACATCTGTATTCATCACTGTAGTGAATGTCCCAATCTTATTAATTAAGAATTAATAAGACAAAATGAGAAATTAAAGCCATAAGATTATACACCAAGAAGCTTAACCATCTCTATTTGTAGAGGACATGACAGTCTATACAACAGAGAACACTTACTCCTGTTCTACATGCTCTTTCACCAGGTCAGAGTCTGCACAGTTAGTACACAGTTTGCGGTTTGTTGGAGAACCTAATTAGCAATGTAATACACTAATCCAAAACAAAGGACTATTTTTGCTTTATCTACATCAGTGTTTCCCAAACTTTTGACACATGTGTACCCCTTCTATAATTTTTGAAACGCTGAGTACTCCTCGTACTCATGAGAATGTAGAATTAGGAACAACTAAGCACGGTGCAGTGCATATCCCCACCAAACTCCGGTGCAATGCGTACCCCCACCAAACTCTTCCCGTACCCCTGGGGGTATGCGTACCACACTTTGGGAAACACTGATCTACATCTTAAAATAAATATAAATAGCAGCAATACCAAACAAAGTCAAATACGTAGTGGCTACAACTGCATTTAATACTATTTAGATCTATACAAGTCACTCAGGGAAACTGCATTTTTGTAGAAACAATGGCTACAAAAGATAACTTCCAAAAGCCAACCTTTTACAGGTAAAATTCAAGATTTGATTTGCCAATTAGTTTTTACTGTGTATAATTTTTATAAGAATAAAAATTGATCTGTTTGAAGATACTTTTAATAAAATATAATGCAAATTGGATCAGTAGAAATTATGTAACTGTGCTTTTAGAATAATGAAATTAAATTGGTTACAGGAGTTTACTTGGTATAATTTCTTATACATACTTTAATTTGGAGACCTCATGAGAGTAACTAACAAAAACTGGAGAAATTAAGACTTTCAGATTACAGTGCAATATAGAGATTTCATGTGAGGCTGGAACTATGGGGAAAAGACATGGGTAAGTACACCAGAGTCTAGCTTCCCACATCAATAGTCTAGTTGCCAGGTACCATACTGAGTGTGCCTTATCTTCTCAAAGAAGTGGCTTAGGGTAACGGTCCCAACAGATGAACAGCTGCTACTGCAGGTGAACAGAGGCACATCAGGCAAATGGAGTTGTGTTTAACTCACTGGCCTTATTTTTAAAAAATATGTTTTTATTGATTTCAGAGAGAGAGGGAGAAAGATAGGAACATTGATGAGAGAGAATCATTGATTGGCTGCCTCCTGCAAACCCCACACTGGGATCCAGCCTGCAACCTGGGCCTGAACCCTGACTGCAATCAAACTGTGACCTCCTGGTTCACAGGTCGATGCTCAACCACTGAACCGCACCAGCCAGGCAGGCACTGGTTTCTAATTTCAAACAGAGTGAAGGGGAGCAACATAGAGGTTCACAGGCATTTCTCTTTAAGCAGCATTCAAGAGCTGTAATTTGATGCTTATGAATGTCTGTATCTGAATAGGTGTTAGTATTTGAATACCTGGGAGTTAAACAGTTACTAAACAGACCAGCCTATGGAAAATTTCTTATAAAAAACAATAGGTTTTGTGTATATATTATATTTTATATGTTTATTCATAGAGACCTGCTTGTAATAAAGATAAATTATATATATATATATATATATATATATATATATATATTTTTTTTTTTTTTTTTTTTTTTACAGAGAGGAAGAGAGAGGGATAGAGAGTTAAAAATATCGATGAGAGGGAAACATCAATCAGCTGCCTCTTGCACACCCCCTCCTGGGGATGTGCCCGCAACCAAGGTACATGCCCTTGACCGGAATCGAACCTGGGACCTTTCAGTCTGCAGACCGACGCTCTACTGCTGAGCCAAACCGGTTTTGGCCTAATCATTTAGATAGACTCTTTTGTGAAGGACCAGTTTAAATTTTTAGCTATTTGTGAGTGTGTGTGAATGTGTGTGTGTGTGTGTGTGGTGAGGGAGGATGTTGGTCTTTTTCTTTTTGGTTTGAAGTTCTATGTAATGTCTGTGTGCTAGTCCTTTGCTGAATATATGTATTTTGAATATTTTCTACCAGTC